AGAGCGTGGCGTGGCGTCTGCCAGAGATGGAAGGCGCGTACTCGACTTGGACGTGCGACGGAGAGCCTGCGAGTCGATCGGCGGTGGCAGTGTCGCGCCATGTCGTGGTCGGGAGGCACAAGGCTGGGATTTGGGCTGAAAGCGAAACGCCTCCCGCTGGCTGTCGCCTCGCAGACCCCGTATTTTGTGTTTGTGCAGTGATAGCCGGGCGTAGGCGCTGGAACCAAATAAAAAAGAGCGACAAGTCTCCTTGACCCGGCCCTCAACTCCCTCCTTTCAAGCCTTAGAGTGACTATAGCCACATTTGTAGTCGTACCATTCATCGCGCTGTATGCTTCGTATAGACACGCCATCGAGTCGACGTGTATTCGCTCGCCAAGTACAATGCCACAGTGCTACATGCCACAAGTCTCTGCGCGTCTCCCTCAGGTCATGTCCCGCTGTCCCTTTCCAATTGAACCCGCCAGGGTATGTTCCTCCCTTCGCGCCCGCTGCTTGCCCTAGGGTTAGGGTGTGCCCATTACGGCATATATCCTGTACATCGCCTTCCGCCGCTCCATTCCTAGCGCTATTGTTCAAGCTAAAGTCCCTACAGAGCCGCCAGTCGCAGCACACACATCAATACAACAAGTCCCACCATCAGCACACCACGTACCATAGCACCCGCGACACTCTGCTCCCCAGAACGCCATCCGTCCCGTCCGGCAGACGTTTGACAGACGAGTCGAGTCGCCCTGCCGCAAAGAGCCGCGTCATTGCACAGCGAACGCCCCAGCCCCATCGACACCCCGCTCGTGCCACTTCCAGCGGGAGCATAGTCGTCCAGGTGGCCCCAGGTGCGAGCGTCCCGTGTTCGCAGAGCGGGAGGCGTTGACGGAGGCCAGCGTGGACGACTGTCGAGGAGTGTCCGCGATGCGGAGAAGAGGGTATGCGCGAGCGCGCCGCTCGCGGGAACGCGACACATCCCATCTTCGCCGAGTGGTCTCCCAGAAGCGTCGCCGCAGAGGGAAAACTGAGCAGCGATCGAGACGGCGTCCACGATGGACCACAAAGCACAGGCGCGAGCGTGCCGCTCACGGGAACGCGATGTGTCCCATCTTTGCGGAGCGGCCATGTAGATGTGTTGCCGGAGAGGAAAAGGTGATCTGCATTGCAGGAGGGGTTAGACAAGCATCGAAGAGATAACAAGGTATGAGCATACCGCTCGCGGGATCGCGATACATCCCATCTTCGCCCAGTGGTCTCCCAGAAGCGTCGACGGAGAGGACAGCATGGACCGCTATCGAGGAGGCATCCGCGATGCCGCACAGCGCGAGCGTGCCGCTCGCGGGAACGCGATACGTCCCATCTTGGCGAAGTGGGGTCGGGGAATCACCGTCGAGAGGGTAAGATGAGCCGACGTCGAGGGCGCAGTCGCCAATCAGAAAAGCGGGTGTTGAAGCGCGAGCGGCACGCTCGCGAACGCCCCTTTACACATTGGTACCTCGGAAATACACAGATGGCCGCGGCGGAGAGGGGGCGGCAACGGATTTGCCGGGCTAGACGCGGCAGCGGAGGAGAAGTCGACGAGAGCGCAGAGCGGGCGGCACGCTCGCGGGATGTCGATATATCCCATCTTTGCGCAGCAGCGCCGCTGTCTTGACATGAAGAAGGCGGCTTGAGTTGACGGGATGACGGCACTAACCGTCGCCATCTTCTATCAAAGATCTCAATATCAGACAACACAAGTAACACAAAGTCGAGATAGACGCACCCGAATGCCGCATGCAAAGGTCTACGAGGCTGCACGTAGTCCTGGAGGTTGAGAAATGCCGGCGAGGCGCGGACACAGCGGAGCGGCTAGACGTCACTCGCGGGGACTTGAACCAACCCATCTAGACCAACATTGAGTAACGAGAGAGGAAATACACTCAAACGGGATAGGTACCTTGGCGAAGCACATGCTGCGAGGCAGCGTACACAATGCTGCTCGCGAGGGGAGAGGGCATCGTGGGTCATGACAAAGATACGTGACCAAGCACCGCACGCGTCCCTCGCCGGATGTCGATACGTCCCGTCTTCGCTATCCTGGAGGGCGACAATGCACGCGAGTGGCTCGGCTCGGCTCTGCTCGCCGGAGCGGGATCCGTCCCGACTTCATCTAGCGCTAGTCCTCGTCAGCTACACCGGTAATACATAGCAGTAAAGGTTGTGCACGTACCGTAGCGATAAGAACTGAGGGCGGCATCGAGAAACGCAGTACTTGGTCAGGCGACTGCGAGAAGTTTGTCCAAAGGGCCGCGCGACGACGGCCCACGTACACTT